ACCTCCTTGCCCCCCAGCACCCGGCGTACCCCCCCCGGCTCCTCTGCCACCCATGATGAGACCACCTCTCCCCACGGAGGGGCCAGGCACTATCCCCCCTCCGCCTCCCTCCAACTGAAGCCCCTCCTGGACTCGGTCCTGCTGGACTCCTCTAGCTCGTATCTTTTTATATGCAGATCGCAGCCGATTCGGAGAAATAGTTCTGTTTTGTACGCCCGTGAATTTGACAAAATCCTGTAGGTTCATTAAAAGGTTTTCAATTTTCCTTTCTCTATGTTTTCCCGTGTCTTGGTTAAAAACGTTGCCCTGTGTTCACTTTCTTTAGCCCTTAGATATCTAAAACGTTCCCAGTCTGGTTTCATTTTGGGAATTCTCCAAAGAGGAGGCAAAGGATTGGAAATCTCCAGGCACCTCACCTCCTCCTAACTGAAGTAGCTACATCGACCTCAGCTCAGCCGTGTTAGCTTAACGTATTGCCCCCTCTCAGGCCGCCTGATGTGTATCCCGTGAATTACCAGCCGGTTAATCAGTTGCTATTCAACTGAAGTCCTTTGTCAAGCCGTTCGTTCGGTGATGGGGAGACTTGTCGTAGCCACACGGAAAGGATTCTGTTACTGCACCCCCAGTACTCACAGCCGCGGGCAGAATGGAGGGCAAGGAGAATTTTCTAAACACGGTTTTCTCTGTCTTCCTGCCGAATTACGGCTGCAATCATCCCACCGCATTTGGAAACCTCCTTTCTCCTCCCGGTTGCCAGAGCACTGTACGGGAGCTCAGGCGCTGCCAGCTAAATCACGGAAACGTCTCTACTGAGGAAATCGGTTTGGACTGCTGCTCGGGAGTCCTCGAGGAGGGCCAGACAAGGGGTCATCGGCAGTTTCAGAAAGGCCATCGTCCTTCCCCGGCGCGCAGCTTACCAGCTCCTACCCGCCGCTCGCTGGGCTGTTTATGCCAAAGACGGGTTCACAAACAAAGCGCCGGTGCTCTCGTCTGTGGCGGCGGCAGGGATCTCTGGGAACGTTGAGTCACGAGAAATGACCAAAGCTGCAGTGGTGTTAAATCTTAGTTTATTGCTGTAATTCATTAAGTGGTGTCTGTACGTTGCGAAGCACCTGCTGCCGCGTATGATTTCCGCTGTATACATCCTCCCACCAGTAGACCAGTCTTGGCAAGCTTTTAGTTCTCTGTGGTTTTATTTATACTAAACGTTTCCTTCAAGCAATCGTTTGGCTCCCATTAAAAAGCAGAAGTTCTGAGATTTCTCCTCTCTGTCCTTCCCAGGGTTCACTGCACCGGACCGGGGCGTCTCGGCGCGGGATGCCGGGGTGCTCGGTGGGTAAAGGCATCGCTGGAGGCCGGGCTGCCTGACCCGGCCTCGCTCTTGGCCGGTGCCTGGCTCGTTTCACGGACCACGGGGGAGGCTGTGCTGGCCGCGGCCCTGCAGCTGCGTGCCCCTTCGGTGGAGGAACCGAAGTCTTTGCCTCTTCTGCTGTCCTGACACGGGTCCCCCCCGGAGCCGTGCAAACGCCGGAGGCGGGCAGCGCGCGTCCAAGCCTCGCTGGCTTTGCCACCGTCCTGGCAGCACTTTGGCTCGAGCTGAGCCGGCCCGATGCCTGAATCGGCTTGTGTGGGTCTCCCCTTTGCAGGTACGAGTCCTTTGTCGTCGTTCCTGTAGAAGAGAGGTCCGCCGTCACCAGCCCTTTGGTGTGGTGCCCTTCGTCCCTCTCCGGTTCGGGTGCGCAGCTGTAGCCGCGCACGGTTATGAGGCGCTGTAGCCAGATCCTGCGCTCCAAACTGCAAAGTCCTGGAAACCCAGAGGAGGGTCTGAACGTGCGTTGGATCTTTTTTTGCAGGTACCTTTCGCCCTGCACTCTGTTGCCCAAAAACAGGAGATGCCTTGGGTGGAAGGGAGGTTTCTCTGGGGTGGATTAAGTAGGTGGCATTGGTGACTCCAAGTGTTACAGTGAGTATTGGCATCTCCTAGAGGGAAAAGTCCTTATAAGACGTGTGTTGTGAGACTTTCTAAGTCAACTCTTAAGTGTTCAAAGTCATCAGGCTGCTGCTGCACCCCGTGAGATTCTCCTTCACAGGTTGAAGCAGCCTGGGGCTCAGGAGTGTGTTAAGAGCCCCTGCAGGGCGGCCTCTCTGAACTGCAGCGTGTGCGGTACCAGCCGAGGGTTGCCAGGGAAGATCGGAGAACGCTTTCCATACATTTACTTAGTTTCTGCTGTCTCTGTCCCCCTCCTCCCAGTCTGGCTCATTCTTCCCTCCTGGTGTTTCACTGCTGATGGGAATAGTATGTGCCAGTCCCCATGAAGATCCAAGTCTAGACATCCATCCTCCTTTAGAAAACATCCAAAGTCAAGGACGTGCGTCCCTACGAGTGAGAGAAACAGCTTTAATTTTTTTACATTTCCAATACTAGATGCAAACCCAAAAATAGAACAAAAAAGTTTCTTTGAAACATCCTTCCCTCCTCTCTAGCATGACAGCCTTTGAGTTTCTCAAGGGAGGTGTGTTGTGCATTGTCAACTCAAGGCCACCGGTTTTTAAAAGGGAGACGCCGTCCTCCCCTTCCGCCCATCAGCCCAAGACAACCGGTTTTTAAAAGGGAGACGCCGTCCTCCCCTTCCGCCCAAGTGTTACGGGATGCGTGTGAGCGGCTCGAACGGCTGCGTTGGGAGTAGCTGAAGTGGGAACATGAAGGCTGCTCTTAGGGTGCTTTTGCCGTGCCTGGTGCTGTTGCTCCCCTCTGCAGCACTTCCGAGAAAGGGGAGCACGGGGGAAGAGATTTCCCCGATGAACCGGCTGGAGCTGAGCCTGCCGGAGGAGCTGGGACTTGAAGCAGAGGAGAGAAAGAGAGAAAATGCAAGTTTACAGGAAGGAGGGAGACCCAGCTTGGCGGCGAGATCAGGGATGACTGCTGCTGCTCGCCTCTTCTCTAAGCCTCACCCGGGAGCAAAATGCCTCCAGGGGATGGCTGAGGATGGGGGCATCGGCTGGTCCAGCTCCAGCCTGCACCCGTGGCCGCTTGGGGGGCTGGAAGGGCCCGTGTGCAGGGTGAAAATGGACCGGGGCGGGCTGACCCCGAGGCACCTGGAAGTTGTGGGTGTTCTCACCCACTATGAAAGCAGCTTCATCAAGCTGTTGAGACAACGCACCAGCTGGGACGAAAGCTTTCTCGAGACCTTCGGGCTCTGCCCGGCCGGGGAAGCGGGTGCTGCTCTCCATCCCCTGAAGCACATCCATGCGCACGTGGTGGAGCCGGGGCAGGACCGCTTCCTCGTGCTGCATCTGGAGGAAGGTTGGTGTGAAATCCCTGCGCCGAGGCTGAGCAGAGCGGGGCAAGCACAGGGCTCGGGGAGGCCGATGCTGTTTGCTTGCTTAAATCAGAGATTTCAACACAGAATTAAATTTGTAGGGTTGTGTTCCTTTTAAAATTAGCGAAGCGGTACAGTAAAATGTCTTTCTGGGTACATTTTTAAGAAGCTTTAGTAGTGATGATAGCTTGTGTGCAACAGGGTGCCTTGTCCCTGCCTGTGACTAACGCCCAGGTGCCACAGTCTCGGTGGCTTTTGCTCTGCTTTCGAGATTACGAGTGTTTCTCACTTTCTGCCTTAATAACATGGGTTAGGACCCCGTCCCAACTCTGTCTGATTGGGAAAAGAGAGGAAAGGGTCAGACGAGCGGACCTGGCTGGTCCTGCTGTGGCGTGAGCCCGGCTGCTCGCAGCCGGCTGCAGCACATGCTGATCTCTCATGCGAGGTGTTGCTGAGGAGCCCTGGGTCCTGGGCTTGCTTGCGTAGCTTCAGCCTTACATGAAAACCAGCAGCGTGCATCCCCCTGTCCCATCCCAGCAGTAAGTGCTGCGCTTGAGGGAGGGCACCCTGGCTGAACCCTCCGTTTTAATCCTGTGCAGCAGGTGGGTCACGGTTGTTCCTCTCTTCTTGAAATCTCTTCCTCCTCTCCCGGATTTTGGATTTTCAGCTGAACTCGATGGTGCCGGGCAGCTGGGGAAGCGGCTCTTCTCCAGGCAGTGCTGCTGGCTGCGACGCAACGGCCACAATGTCCCCGAGCCACCGGAGGAACTGCCATGGGAGAAGAGATTTCCATGGGGATCTGCCCATGAAAATGTGCCAGAGCCACTCTGGGAGCGTGGCAGCCCCCTGCTTGCCGGGGCTGCAGGGTTTGCCCTGCTGACCACCTCCCCGAAACTGGGGAAAGGGATTTGCCGTGTCCCTCCACCCTGTCGGCTCCCATCCCAGATGCTCTGGCCACCGCGTGGGGCCGGTGCTCGGCCCCAAAGCCCCTTCCTCACCCACCACCCCCCCTCCCAGGAGCCCCGCAGCCGCCGGAGGGGCGATTCACCCCCTCTGTCGTCTCCTTTCCAGTGAAGTGGGAAGCCCAGGCGAAGCTGCGGTTCAAGCTGGTTTTCCAGGCAGAGGTGGGCCGGTCGCTGGGAGAGCTGCGGTTCGCCTTGCTGCTCTTCTACCTGGGCAGCCGAGAGGGGCCGGGCGGCGGGCGTCGCGAGGAGCTGCCTGGCACCGGGCCCGGGCC